TTTAATGCAGAGGGGCTGTGGGTGGCCTGAAAGTCGGGGAGGCTCCGAGCTCACCGGACCCGTCTGTGTCCTCAGGCCAGGAGCAGAGGGAGAGGGAGCTGGAGCTGCACTCCCCCATCCAGGTCGACGTCAACAGAAACCTCAGCTTCATGGCCAGGTTCTCGGAACTGCAGGTGACACGCCGACGGGGGGAGGCCTGGTTCTGCTCACCGGGACTGGCTGCTTCACAGGGCACTGGGGTCTGCAGAGGTCCTGGCCACACACTTGCAGCCTCTCAAGCCAGAGTCAGGAACTGAAGAGGTTCTACCTTAGCATGGTGGAGCGACGGCCCTCAGTTCAAGTCCGAGGGGCCTCCTCACTCAGCAGCATAGAGTCCCAGAGCAAGTCAGAGCCCTGAATCGAGCGTGACCTCAGGGAACATGCCGTTCATTCACAGACGGGGGAGGTGACAGGCCCACTGGGTGGGGTGGCCACAGCCAGACATCACGTGGCTTCTGTGTGACCCAAGTCCAGGAAAGGACCAGCGTGGGCTGTTAGGCCTTGGACTACACTGTGCTGAAGGCGCCTGGCCGTGTGTGAGTCCAGACACCTGGCCCTCTGTGAGTCCAGACGCCTGGCCGTCTGTGAGTCCAGACGCCCGGCCGTCAGTGAGTCCAGGCCCTGGCTCTCTCCCAGTGGCGGATGCTGACTCTGCGGACTGACGACTCGGAGCACAAGTACAGCTCCACCCCGCTCGAGTGGGTCACGCTGGACACCAACATCGCCTACTGGCTGCACCCCAAGAGCAGCGTGAGTGGGGGCTCTCCTCCTGCCAGAGCACCCTCCTTTGCACACTGGGGTGGGCCCTGGCACCCTAGAAAGCCCCACTGGTCTCCAAGCCTCCTGGATCCAGAGCCTGGGCTGGGCTTCCCTCTTCGGCGGTTGGGCAGTGCACGCTCAGTGCTCCAGCCCAGTGCCAGGGCCTGTAGCCCAGTGCTGGCTGGGCCGAGGAAGCTGGGCTTTACTGTGCTGTTAGGAGGGCAGTGTTCCGTGCTGAGAGAGAGAGACAGACACCCCACACCCACACACACACCCCCACCCCAACAGCTCACTGCTGTCAAGCCCACTCTGATCCATAGCGACCCTGTAGAGGGTTTCCAAGCCTTGGGAATCTTAACAGGGCTTGACAGGCTTTCTCCCATGGCAGCTGGTGGGTTTGGACCACAGAGGCTTCCATCTGTTAGCCTCTTGCCCAGCGGAGAGAGCCCAGCCATTCCTGTTGCTGAGATCCGTGCTGCTGCCTCGGCCTTCTCTAAATGAGGGTCTCACTGGGAGCTAGCTACGTCCTCGTTGGTGCCCAGGGGGACCTGATGCCAGGCTGTACCCACTTCTTCCCTGTCGTCCGGCGTCACCCCGCGTGACCGGCGGGCAGCTGGGTGACAGCCTCCTGTGCTGCAGGCGCAGATCCACCTGCTGGGCAACGTCGTCATCTGGGCCTCGGCCAGCCTCGCAACGGTGACCTACGCCCTGCTCTTCCTGTGGTACCTGCTCCGGCGGCGGAGAAACGCCTGCGACCTCCCTGAGGGTCAGCACAGCTGGCGCTGGTGGCGTCCGGGCTCCTCTTCCTGGTGGCGCACGAGTTCCTTGAGCTTTGGGTGGCTGTGAACACACTTGAGACAGCCCTGTCACACAAGGGACCCCGCAGGGAGCGGCCTCCCTGAGGTCGCCAGGCTTCCCCACGCAGCACAGCCAGCCGGCACGCTCATGGGCGCTGCGGGGCTAGCAGAAGCCCGCTGACAGCCACTTCGAGGCAGAAGGAGACATCCAATGGAGGCCGGGTTCCACATGGGCCTGGACCAGCCGGGGGGCTGGCAGGGGGGTGCTGGTCCTCACAGCGCTCTGGCTTGGGGACCCAGTCCCTCCTCTCAGTTGGCGCCACACACAGCTCCTAAAACCCTTCGAGGCTGGAGACTGGGGCCCGGCCACCTGGGACAGAGCTTCTCCGGACAAGGACAGGGATCCCTAGGGCCTGGGAGGGACTGCTGGAGAGTTCCGTAGCGCAGTGAGCCTAGGAAGGGGGGGCGGTAAGACCAGAACCAAGACTGTGTGTCATTGGGCTGGCTGCCCCAAGGCTCCCCGTCTCCCGGCAGATGACTGGCTGCGCTGGGTGCTGGCCGGGAGCCTGTGCTGCGGGGGCTGGGCGGTGAACTACCTCCCTTTCTTCCTGATGGAGAAAACGCTCTTCCTCTACCACTATCTGCCGGCGCTCACTTTCCAGATCATCCTGCTCCCCGTGGTCCTGCAGCACGTGGGCGACCACCTGTGCAGGTACACCCCGCAAGCCAAGTGTGCGCTCAGGGAGGGGGCTGGGGCCATACGCCACTGCACTCAGAGGCACCGGAAGTTCCACAGAACCCCAGTGAAACAAGGTGGGCATCAGAAGACAGCTGGGGGCAGGAGCCGGAGGGCCGGAGAAAGGGGCAGGGACTTCATTGGCAGCCGGGAGCCCCTGCAGCATTTCAGGAGGAATGGGATGTGGCCAAGCTAGGGTTGGGGACAGTATTGTGGCACCTCCTGCCTGGTAGGGGCAGGCTATGGAGATGTGGTAGGCAAGCGAGGGGAGGGCCGTGCTCAGTGCTGCCAAGCGGGCTGTGACCGTGTGGAGGGAGGGCTATGGGGGGAGGGGAATGGAGGGGGGTCCACAGGCAGAGGCTCTGCCTTCCTCACTGCCCAGACCCTGCGGCCCACAGGTCTCAGCTGCAGAGGAGCGTCTTCAGTGCCCTGGTGGTGGCATGGTACTCCTCCGCGTGCCACGTGTTTAGCACCCTGCGCCCGCTGACGTACGGGGACACGTCACTCTCACCGAGTGAACTCCGGGCCCTGCGCTGGAAAGACAGCTGGGACATCTTGATCCGGAAGTACTAACAGAACAAGGGCATGGCCAACAAGACCTCAAACCTGCAGCCGGCCTCTGGCTGCAGCCGGCAGCCGTGGACAGGAAGCTCCTGTGTGCGCACGTCTTACGGTTGCATTCCTGAGACCCTCGGCATCTGTGCACTCCAGATCGTGGAGCCGGGCCCCCAGAGACCCCGACCGAAGACACCCGCAGAGCTGTGTGCAGTGGCTAACCTGGACCTCCCTCCCTGAGGAAGCTGGAGGTGGAGAGGCCTCTGGAGCCCCACCCACCCAGTCCCCCCCAGCAGGTGCCCCTTTGCGGGGTGGAGTCCCAGCATGTGCTTTCAGTGTGGCCTGGAAGGGTCAGCTAGTCAGTCGGCTTCTTGTTGGCCAGAGAAACCCTGTAGCAGGCTGGAGGGTGGCCTGGCATCCTAGCTGGCATTGAAACCCACCCCTCAAGGTCCACGTTTTCTGTGGAGTCCACTTTTATTTCACGCCATTAAAAAAGGGACAGAGTAGCATTAACGTTTGGTGTTTATTTGATTCGCGCTCCAAAAGGGCACGATGAGTTTGACAGAGTTCCTATGTAGCGAGCTCGCTCAGAAACCAGCCCCCAGTGAACTGAGCAATGCCACGTCCCATGTAAGGAGCCGGCACGCTGAAAGATCAAAAGTGCCTTTGCAGCTGGCTGAATGTGTGTGTGTGGGTTGGGGGGGGAAGAGGGTTATCAGAAGATCCCACCCATGGGCGACTGTGGTGTGATGTGTGCAGGGCACTTGCTCCAACCTCTACTACCTAGCCAGTCCCTTGGCCAAGCTGTGCCAGGAACAGCACCTTGGGCCCCGGTGGCCTTGGCCTTGCGGGGCTGCTGTCTGCGGTGCACACCGCCCCTCCCAGCTGGCTTTGAAGCCACCACGAGGTGGGCTCAGGCTGTTGGGCTTTTCAGCCCCATGTCGCCCTGGCTCACCTGTGTCACCCTGGCTCACCCCCGGAGGAGTCCGGAGACGGAGCTGATGGTTACACAGCGTGGCGGTGAGGGGTAGAAGACAATCGAGAACATCCGGTGGTAGCTCCTCAAACTCTGGGTTCGGTGCTTCCTGCTTGTGCGCTCACTGGGTCTTGCGGGGCACCTCGCCCTCACTGCCGGAGGTGCCTGCCCGGCAGCTGTTTCCATGTGTACAAAACCACGTGCCTTACACTCCTTCCTTGCGGAGGCAAGCTGACTGGGCGTACCGCGCATTCTGGGGCACTGCTCAGAGGCCTAGAGATGTGGAAACTCCTTAATAAGCACGAGGAGGTAGGTGTGCGCCCCAGGATGCCTTGCCACCACCTCTGGGTGACACCCCCCTGTAACGTGGAAGGAAGAAATGGTGGCCAATATTTGGGGGGCAGGTAGGCATCTCTGAACCCCAGCTATACACAGTCTACAGGAGGGGCCTGCCCAGGAGGCTGAGGGGGCCACAGGCTCTGGCTCCTCAGTGGGGTCTGCTGCTGGACTCCAAGTGGGACCGTTTGCCAGAGGTCAGCACCCCCGGGTGGTCCCCAGGCTCAGAAAATGTCCTCTTGCAGCTCCGCCCGTTGGACCCTGCTCGGTGCCACTTGCAGATGTCACCATTCAGGATGTCCTGGATGTGCTGCACAATCAGGTTGATGGCAACTGCGGCAAAGACAGACGGGAGGGGCCTGTGTGCTACTCCCCCCATTCCTGCCCTTGGCTCCCCCTACAGCTATGCCCTGAAGTGGCCACCCCTCAGCACCTATAGGATCAGGGCCCAACTGCTCCATAGGGGTTTTAAGGCTGCCAGGCTACAGGCTCCATCTCATCTTGCTCCCTCGTTCAAACGGCTGACCTCTACCCACTCTGCCAGCAAGGTTCCTTGTTAAGGAACAAGGGCCAAAGTCGTTTCCAAGGGCAATCAATGTGGAGCCACTGTCCCCATCTTGACAGTAAATGCACTTGCTGCTCCGCCTGCGCTTACCCATGTTGTCCACCCCTCGAGGGATGATCACATCGGCATATTTCTTCGTCTGCAAGGCAAGAGGAGGTTCCTGTGAGGGCCCCAGCCCACGTGACACGAGTGAGTCCAGGCTCTGTGGGGTTGGGAGGGTAGGGGTGGCCCAGGGTGCTAGTGACGCCCAAGGCTGGCAGAGGGTGACAGCAAGCAGAGGTCCTTGTCCCCAGGTCTGGAGTCAGTGACCAAGGAAGGGAAAGGATGCAAAGCCAGCCGAGGCAGCAATCCCCCCTACCCCCACCCCCACGGGCGCGCTTCTACCCCACGTCCACCTCGGGCTTCCGGCTCTTGCTTTTCTCCGTGGACACCAGTCAGGCTGCTGTCTGGGCCACGGTGCTGGCACCCTCCCCTGGAGTTGGGGAGGGAGCTCAGGAAGCCGGCAGGGCACAGCCACACTCATCTGGCCACCCTCGTGACCCTCCTGGGAAAGACCACCCGGCCGCCTGCTCTCAGCCAGCCAGCCAGCCACCCGACTGCCAGGGGCTCTGGCTGCGAAGTGAGGGCAGGGAGAGGTTTCCCACTTGGGGTTACTGGGACTCCACAAGTGGCTCCATGGGGAGGGGAGGGCAAGAGGCCCCCGCCCGAGTCTCCAGAGACGGCACTCTCCGTCACGTGGGTCACCGTCTAAGATTTGGGGCCCACAGTTTTATGAGCTACCAACTTGCCGCATGCCTTTCTGCAAGCAAAAGACTAACTGCTGCTCCTGTCGAGTTAGGGCCCAGAAGCTTCCGAGGCAGTCCCGGGGTCTCACGTTCGCACGAGTAAAGGGTAACTGCTTTTCCTCATTCCTTTTCCTGCTACTGGCGCCTCCGCATTATTGAGTCTTATCTTTCTGAAGCAAAACTTGTCCTCCAGTTAGAACTTAAGATGGAAGCCCGTCTCTTCCTCTCATCTCCCCGCCAACCGGGCCTGAGAGGACCCACCAGGTGTAGCTTGGAGAACCGGGTCCCAGGTGGTCAGTCGCTAAGCACAAGGAGCCTTATGGCGCAGCTGCTAACCAAAAGTCCACAGGAGGAGGAGGGGGAGGTCTGCTCCGGGGACAAAGACAGCAGCCCCTGCCTCCCCTGTGGGGTCATTCTGTGCTGTCCTACCAACTCCACGGCACCCAACACGTCCCAGACATGGGTTCTGGCCGTCAGCTGACAGGACTTGCTGGCCTCATGAAATCTACTCTCCTGAAGTGGGGCAGCAGGGGCCTTGGGCCAAGGCAAAAGCCCACTATGTCCCATGACGTGACACTCTGCAGAAACTATTAAGCAGGCAGAGAAGCTGGGGAGGGGACGTGGGAGAAGAGAAGCAGCCAATGCAGACCTGGGGAGCGAGGAGGGGGCTTTAGCCGGAGGGAACAGCAAGGGCAGGGCCTTTGGGGACAGGGCCTTGACTTGAGGAAGGAGGTGAACCAGGGAGGGGGGGGAGGTTACCGGCAGGCAGAACTCCTCAAAGGCTGGCTTGACAAAGGTGGTGTACTGGGTCAGAATCTGCTCCAGGTCCCTCCCCCGCTGCACGTCCCGAAGAACTGAGAGACAGGAGCCAGGTGACAGGCCTCAGGCCTAGTCTGGGGCAGGTGGGGTGGGGGGTGTCGAAGAGACCCCGGCCGCCTGCCTCACCTCGCCGGGACAGCCGCACGTCCGAGTCGGTGTCCACAAAGAGGCGCAGGTGGAACATGTCCCGGATCTCCTGGCTGTAGAAGACCAGGATGCCCTCAAAGAGAACCACATCGGCTGGGTAGACCACCGTCGTCTCCAGTAACCTGCAGGGGGGCAAAGAAGTGGACGCTGCTGGGGACTGAGGGCCTGCTGGGGCAGTCTCCTAGGCAGGGAGGGGGGGTCAGGATGAGCTTTCAGAAACCCGGGTGGGGGCAGGGCCTCCTGTAGGACCCTGGACGCCTGGTCCATTCCCTCAGTCATCCCAGAAGCCACCGCTTCACTTACCTGGAGTGGGTCACAAAATCATAGGTGGGGACCTCCACGGTTTTGCCCTCTACGATGCTTTTCAGCGTCTGGTGCATCAAGTCGTTATCAAACGCATCTGCAGAGATGGCAAAAGCACGACCACCCAGCTGCCACGTGTGCCAGGACTCCGCGCGTCCCGCTGTGGGTCAGCCAAGAGCCAGCACTGCACCTGACTGCCGCCCCTACCAAGTATGTCTGGTGGCAACAGGGCCTCCCAAGTCCTGGCAACCAGAGGACGACCTTATTCTTCCTGTCCTCGCCTTGGTTGGGGTGACTTCTCAGGGCAGCTCCCCCTTTTGTCCAGGAGGGTGTCAGCCAGAGCTGGGTGGGTGTGGGGTAAGGTCAGAGCCTCCCCTTGGGGGGTAGCCACAGGTCTGCTACTTCCCAAGTCCTGTTCTCATGCCCGGGGGCGGCAAAGGGCAAAGGAACTATCCCGAGATCTAGTCATGGCTGGGGCAGCCTGGCTCCTCCCTCAACTACCCAGCACCTCCTCTTCACTGGGCCCTCTGACCAGACCAAGACAGGGGGCTTCAGTCCACCACTGCCACAACCAAAGGAGCCCAGAGGGGCGCAGTGGCTGCTCAAACTACCGGGCACTCCGTGGGAGCAAGATGAGGCTGTCTACTCCGGTAAAGATGTGCCCTCTTGGAAACCCACAGGGGTAGTTCTACTCTGCTGAGAGGACCCCGATAAGTCAGCATCGCCTTAGAGCAAGCAGGCACCCACCGGCCTGAGGACTTGGGCCCTAGGCCCCAAGACAATGGTTTGCAAAGGACCGTAAAAGCAGCAGGTGGGGAGAGGGATGGTGGGGAAGTTTGGGAAAGTCCGGTGGCACAGTGGTAGAGCCCCAGTGTTACCCCGCCAGTGGCTCTGCGAAGAAGAGATGGCAGTCTAACCCGGGGCACACTCGCCATCCGGTGTGGTCACTAAGAGCTGGAACCGACTTTGCCGCAACAGACTGGTGTTCCAGGTTTGAGAGCACCGAGGTCCAGTGGGCCCTCACAGGACCCCAGTCAGGGGCCACCTATGGCCCAGGGTGTGCGGCAAAATCCTCCTAAGTGCAGGCTGGTTGGGAAACGCCAGCTCTCTAGCTGGGGGACAGCACCCTCTTCCCACCCCGGACCAGAGCAACAGTCTGCTGGGATCGCACTCGGGGCGTCAGCCCGCACGTACTCCTCCCCACGGCCAGGGTCTCCCCAACTACCTGGGTGGTCGAAATTGTACTGTCCCTTCAAGGCCTTCGCCTTCTGTTCGGCAGTCAGGACCTTATAGAACCTGTCTTGGCTTAAGATGACCAACTTGCGCTGCCGGTGGTCTACTTCGTTCTGCCCCAGCAACTCCATGATCTTCTCGCACACGGTCGACTGCAGGGTGGAGAAACGGGATGCCGGCCCCTTACCTCTCGGCCTGCCCGCGCTCCCTTCTGCAGGACAGCCAGGCTGCCGCCGGCGCGGACCCTAACCGCCCCCGAAGCCGTTGGCCGCCGCCACCCAGGAGGCAGGCCGGGATGGGCGGGCGGGCCGCGGGGCAGGTGGTAGCAGGGCCCGGGGGACCCGAGGGGGCCCGACTGGCGACGTCTCCGGAGGCAAGCGCCCCGCTTCCTGCCTGCATGCACCCCAGGCCGGCCCTGCTCCACCGCCGCGCGGCCCCTCCGCTCCTCGACGCTGCCAGGCCTAGGGGGCAGCCCGGCCCCAGGGCGCAGGGTCTCCCCTGCAGGCTGCGGCGGGCCCCTTACCTTCCCGCTCGCTGTGCCGCCGCTCACCCCGATCAGGAAGGGCCGTTGGTGAGGCCGGTCGGCTTCCGGCGCGGCGGCCGCACACTCGCCTCCTCCAGCCGAGGCCATCTCCGAATCCGCTTTCCCGCATCGGGTTCCCGGCTCACCGCCCCTTCCCCAGACCTGCCCGCCGGCCCGCCCCTCCCGCCAGAGTCGGCGACGACCCCGGCGACTACCACTTCCGGGGCGCTGGCGGCGCGGCGCGCGCGGGGCAGGCCGGGAATTGTAGTCCGCGGCGCCGCGCATGCGTGAGACCCGGCTGGGTCTGGGATCCGCAGACTTGGCTTACCTAGCAGCGCTTGTGTGTCCTTCGTTTGCAGGAAAGCGCAAGCATCCTCCAGTTGCCGCGAAAGACTTAAGACTCGGACGCTCAGGCCTAGGAAGGGCATCCCTCTACCCGCGCCTCCAGCGAACGGCCTTGAACTCGCCTCCTGGAGCAGCTGCGAGGCTCCCTTGACCTTCTGCACAAACACCCCAAGACGACCGTACTCGCACTGGGTGCGCTGTGGGCACCCGGAAGGCAGAGCCCACGTCATTCTCTCCGCCTGTACCCGCAGTGCAAGTACGGATGGATTCAAAACATAAGATTTCCCAATGTGTCGAGACCTAATGCATCGGGAGGCTTGCAGGCAGGAATATTTTATGATGCTGAAATGTGCAGGGAAAGTAACATGCAGGTCCCACGGCAGGGCGGGGCTACCGCGGGCTTAGGAGATGCCAGGAGGAAGGTGGGACAAGACTCCGGCATCCTGAGCCCTGTTGAAAAAAAATCCCCCAAACTCACTGCCGTCCAGTGGATTCCGACTCCTGGCGACCCTACAGGACAGGGTAGAACTGCCCCTGTGGGTTTCTGAGATCTTTAACTCTTTATGGGAGTAGAAAGCCTCCTCTTTCTCTCTCAGATCTGCTGGTGGTTTCAAACTGCTGACCTTGCAGTTAGCAGACCAAGGCTAACCTTTAGCCCTGTAACCAAAAGCAAATAAATTCACTGCCATCGAATCGATTCCTACTGAGAGTGGCCACACCTATGGGCTTCCCAGACTACATTTCTCCTGCAGAGTGGCGGCTGGTGGTTTCAAACTAATGACCTTGGGGTTAGCAGCCCATCCTGTAACCACTGTGCCGACCTTGGCTAAGCAGAGAAGGTCTCAGGAAGGAGAGTCTGAGCGACCATCCCCCACACAGAAAGGAACTGGCAATGGAGTTCAGAAACCATTCCACCGAACAATGCATTTTCAGGGCAGCCTGCGGGGGCAGTCTGTGGGTGACGTTTGAATTCAAATCCTGCTTCTATAGGGTGTCCTTGAGCATGTGATATGACCACACTGTCCTCCATTTCCTCTCTTCCAAAATGGGGAAACAACACTAAGTTACCTGCCACCCCTCTGACAGAAGAACAAGTGGGTGCCTGGGACAAGCCAACCTGCCTTCTCAGAGCTGAAGCTGCCCTACTGCCTCCAGCCGATGCCCAACATCGCGACGCATTGGGGGCTAGCAGTCTGAATTGAGGGCCCAGCTCTAGGGGAAGGTGGTCACCCTCTGCTCCATAGGAGGGTCCTTATCGCTGGTCTCTTGTCCACTTCTATTTCGTGGCTCCTTGATGACCTTCATCATCTCCATCAATCTTCTCCCATCTCTACTAGCTGACTTGGTTCCTTTTTATAGCTCAAAAGACACTGATTGAAGACACAACGCAAGCCAAGCTCACAGTATTGAGTCCATTCTGACTCCCAGTACCCTAGAAGCAGGGTAGAACTGCCCCTTTGGGTTTCCGAGGGTACAAATCTTCACTGTGGCATAAAACCTCAGTCTTCTCCCTCAGAGTGGCTGGTGGCTTTGAACTGCTAACCTTCAGGTTAGTAGTTCAGTGCA